AGAAGACAAAGTCAATTATTATAATGAAATGTGCAAAGACCTGGAGTCAGAAAACCAAAAGGGAAGAACATGCTCAGTATTTCTCAAGCTGAAAGAATTGAAGAAAAATATATAAACCTCAAATTGCAATACTGAAACACTCCATGGGCAATATGTTGAATGATGCAGGAAACATCAAAAGAAGATGGAAGGAATACACAGAGTCACTATACCAAAAAGAAATGATAGATGATCATCCATTTCAGGAAGTGGCATATGATAGAGAACCAGTGGTATTGAAAGAAGTCAAAGTTGCACTGAAGGAATTGGCAAAAAACAAGGCTTCAGGATGGACAGAATACCCATTAAGATGTTTCAACATACGGATGCTGCGCTAGAGGCATGTACTCAGCTAGGCCAAGAGATCTCGAAGACAGCTACCTGGCCAACTGACTGGAAGAGATCCATATTTGTACCCATTCCAAAGAAAGGTGATCTCACAGAATGTGGATATTATCAAACAATATCATTGATAACACACACAAGTAAATTCTTACTGAGATAATTCAAAAATGGTTGCAGCAGTATATTGACAGAGAACTTCCATAAATGCAAGCTGGATTCAGAAGGGGAGCAAGGGATATCACAGCTGATGTCAGAGGGATCTTAGCTGAAAGCAAATAATACCAGAAAGATGTGTACTTGTGTTTTATTGACTATACAAAGGCATTCAATTGTGTGGATCATAACAAATTGTGGGTAACACTGAAAGAACAGGAATTCTACAACACTTAATTGTACTCATGAGGAACCTGTACATAGACCAGGAGGCTGTCATTTGAACAGATCAAGGGTATACTGCAGGGTTTAAAATCAGGAACGGAGTGTGTCAGGGTTGTATCCTTTCACCGTACCTATTCAATCTGTATGCTGAGCAAATAATCCAAGGAGCTGGATGATATGGAGAATGTGGCATCAGAATTGGAGGAAGGCTCATTAACAACCTGAGAATATGCAGATGACACAACTTTGCTTGCCGCAAGTCAGGATGACTTGAAGCACTTACTGATGAAGCTTAAAGGCTACAGTCTGCAGTATGGATTACACCTCAATATAAACAAAAATCCCCACAATTGGACCCATAAGCAGCATCACTATGGAGAAAAGTTTGAAATTGTCAAAGACTTCATACTGCTTGGTTTTACAATCAACACCAATGGAAGCAGCAGTCAAGACATCAAAAGACATAATGCATTGGGCAAATCTGCTGCAAA